AAGAATAAAAAAAAAAAAACCCCAATTTAACCCTGTCCCTAGAGCCATAAAGAATGAAAAACTGCCAAGTCAACAGCTTCTGGGTTTGTGCGTGTGTGTGTGTGTGTGTATATGGGTGTTGGGGGGGGGGGGGGGGGGGGGGGGGGGGGGATGGGGATGAGGTGGAGGATGGGCAAACGGGAAGGGGCAAGACAGGCTGGAAGGATCGGGAAGCCAGAACCAAGGGGCTGGCGTTTTAAAGACATGAAACTCAGATGAAGACTCCCAGTACCATGGGAATGTGCTGGCCGTACTCCTGAACTTAAAATTTGGTCCAAGAGGCTCATAAAGTTGCAGGGAATTCCCAGTGAATGGCCACATCCTTCCAACTCTGAAATCAGGGTTTTCATATACAGTCTAAAGATAAATAGGGATGCTGAATGTTTTTGTTATTATTGCTATTGTGTTTTGAGCTGCGAGGTCTCAGTTATAAGGTCAAGGCATTCATACCCTTCAGGTACAGACTATTACCTGCAAAAAGCGATGAACACGAGAACAATGCCAGCTGCACTACTTGGAAGGATGAATTCTCCCTTTCTTTATCTTCGAACCACTCGCAGCAGCCTTTCCAGGGCTGTGAATCATCCATTCAAGGCAAGGGCAGGGAATAGAACATTAAATATAATTTGTGTTTTGCTAATTGAAATCAAATACAAAATTCAGTCTCCCATGAGTTGCCATGCTCGTGTTTAAATAGGGCGGAAGCATCATTAACCTGATTCTATTTTAGTAGGTTGACTTAGCTTTTTCTGGATAGGAGTTAATTCCTTTGTCAAGTTTCCCCACGGAAGAAGGGGACGTGGCTTAGTGACTCGCTCCAAGTCACAAGGATCAAACTAGAGGAGACACTGCCGAAAAGAGAACTTAAACATGTCAAGTTGGCATTTCTTTTCAGAGCCATGAGCTTTCAACCATATCGCCAAACAGATGCTTAAAATAAAAATCCTCCAGATCTCAAGGCTTAGGCCTCTGCCCTATTTCTCCAGAGAACTTTAGCCTACTGTTCTATGCAAGAGCAGATAAATTCTTTAAGGAGGTTTCCCCACTTTGACTTCCCAGGTCAAAATGGCTTCCTAACCATGGGCTAACCACTTTAAAAATGGATTTGCTTGTCCTATTTATGTGAGGATGCATACTTACTAGGTTTCTTTTTAAGCAGCACTTAAGGTCTTGATGTTCTGGGTTTATGGGGACAGGCATACAGCCAGGGAGATGGCACATGGAGAGTAGGTGTGATTGAGGGGCTGAGCTAATGGGTGCCCACTCACCATAGAAGAGATGCTGGTAGGCTAGAGTAATGCTCATCCTTAGCTGGTGGAAAAACATCTTTAAAGCTTTCCTACCAGCAGCTGCTCCTTTGACCTCCTAAGTTATAAGATCATCCCTTACCTCGTTGTCACTGAACTCCCAAAGAGACCTATTCCTTCAAGGAAGCCATGAACCCTAGGGGACATGTCTCTCGGAAGTAATCCCCACAAAAGCTTAAAAGGAGGGGAGGAAGGAGGATGAGGGGACAAAGAAATACACAGGTGAGACTTCCCTCATTCTCAATCCCACCTTCCATAAGACTATGTTTGAAAGGACAGATGTCTGGGCCCTACCCTAGAAATTCTGATCCTTTAAAAAGCCTGCAGTGGAGCTTAGGAAGCTGTAGCTTGAAAACACCAAACATCTGCCTCTGGTGTGTAACTAACTAGATTCACTCCTTGCTTTGCTTATAAAACAAGGCCCCAAATCAGCTAGCCCACAGTACACTCTTCTGATTAAGCAGGCGTTGTCTTTCTTCAAGTAGGTGTAGATGGGTGCGTGTGTACGTATTTTTATATTGATCTTCTTTCACTTTGGTAGTAAAGGCATATATGTTGCCTTCAGCTCAATAACCACTTTCTCATCTGGAAAAAATTTATTTGCTTCTGAATCTGGCACATCAGTCCATTCTTTGCCGGGATGGGTTAACATAGGAGTAACCACATAGGAGTAACATAGGTGTAACCGCACCCCTTACAGCAGTTGCTTCCTTTGTGCTATTTCAAGAATCATCCTGACCTGCACACAGAATTCCCTGAAAGGTTCTCTAATCTGGGTCTTTCTGGCTATCCCAGAGAAGGGATACTCCCAGAATTCGCGGGTAGGGGTAGAGGTGGGAATGGAGGTGACCAATACAAACACACCATCAAAACCCATGAATCAGATTGCATTAAGCTTTATAACAACACAGTTTTCAGTTAGCGGGAGAAATGACAGTTTAATAACAGCCGAACAGATTTCACTCCCCCCCACTCATACGTATTTCCAATTTTGCTACAACAGTTCCTGGTTTTGGAGATCTGTGAAGAGCGCTTTATGTCAAATGCTGCATTTTAATGGAATCAAACTAATGGGAAGGGACATTTTATGCAGCAGCCCTTGATGGGGGTGTCTGAAGACAGCCCTTACCCTCCCCCACCCCCATACACTGGATCTGATAAATGGAGTCAGCCCTCTTGTCACGTGCCCCAACATGTGCCATCTCTGGATTAAGCAGATGAAGCACGAGATGACCATGTAGGGGAGACGGTGGGACAAAGAGAAGGATGGTGACCGATCCCCTGTGGGTTGTGTTACTAAAGGTTATTCATGACAAAAGACATGCCAGCTCTCTGGTCCTCGCCCCTCTGGGGACCCTAACGGACAGAGCCCATCCTGATAGCATGTGTCAGAACCATGCGGCTGAGGGTCTTCAGGGATGGAGACCTCCCACCAAAATGACTGGCTTTCTTTTTTTCACTCCCAGAGATGGCATTCATCTTTCCCAACCTCAGGGCTCTGAGCTCTGCTGCAACCCCCCTGCTCGGACAGCAGCCCTGTGATTCTGATTCTAGGGAGGCACAGGCTAAGCTTCTCCACTGCCCAGGATACTCACAAAGAGAGAGAGAGACTCAACCCCCCTTCGGGGGCTCTTAGAAAGAAGGCTTCCAGGGGTGTCAGCTTTTTTTGGTGAGAAACATGCATATGCCTCTGCCTTCATAAGGTGAGGAGGGAGTAAGTCAAAGGTTGTGGGACGAGACCTTTAAGAAGAAGGTTAGAGACACTTGAAGAGGGCGGACCTTGCTCCCTAGGAGTCCTGGAGCAATTGGCCACAATTAGTATTCTGGCAAGATGCCAAAGCAGAGGTTGATGGAGCAGGGGCCTTTGCCAGATATGGGGCTAGAACTCGGGCTTCCCAGATGAAAGTGAGAGACTCCGGCCAAAAGTAGACCTTCCTTTCTTTCTTATCATTTAAACAAACATTCATGCCACTGTCTCTGACCTTGACAACTATTTACGTATCCTGTCTTCAGACTTGATGAACCAGCAGAAGACAAGAATTAGCAGTGGATTCTGGTGGCCATCTGGTCAACCAGATGCTGCTACCCAGGCAGGCCTGGTACCCTCATGAGTATGCCATGGGATCCATCCCTTTGCCTGAGCCAACAGCGTTGGAAGCAATCCTGATTGGACAAAGGAGGAGAGATCTATTTGGCACCCCAGCAAGGCTGAGGCTGCAGACCCTGGGGGATTCAGGACTCAGGTAAGGAGCCTCCCTAGCTATTCACCAGCCTTCCCTCCACATCTCTATAGCCTCATTTGTCACCCTCTTCCTGTTCCCACTGGAAATTTTGACCAGTCATTTGGTAAAACATCATGTTGAAGGGTTTGTAGAATTTCCGCAGTCTGTGGATCACATCGGGGTCGATGCGGGGATGAGTCCGACCTTTGCTCTTGCCTAAGCACCTGGGGGCGCTGCTGTCTTCTGGCTTCTTTAGGCAAGGGAACCCCTTGGTTTTGTTGAAATAGAAATGCTTCTCAGTCACAACACGCTTGAGGCCTAGAAAGTCCTGTACTTTGGCCATTTCCCCGGCGGGGTCCACTATGAGTCGCTCACCGCTGACAAAGAGGATCTGAGAGAGGGGGAAATACTGGAGCCAGTTTTCCAGATGCAGAGCATAGATCCCTATTCGAATGGCACTCCAGGAGGCATCGATCAGCCCTAGGGTCCGATTTTTGAAGGCCAGCACCTCGAAGGTGGGGATCTCGGGTTTCTTTGACAGTGTCTGGGTGTAATCGGAGATGGCCCTGGTCACGGGGTTTCTCACCACCACGATGAGTTTGATGTCCTTGGCCATGGAGTGGATGCGCTTGGGGGCCTCATTTGTCACAAAGTAACTTGGTGTCTTCTCCATGGTTAACTGCCCATCCAAAGTCTTAGGCATCACATTTCTGGAAGACGGAGGAAAACAGAAGAGTGATTATTCCTGTCCAGAAATAACTGAACTTGTTGCACGAAATGTCTGATATAAATAGCCCAGTGAGGAGCTACCCAATAAAATTCCAATGTACACTTGGAAGTTCCTTTTGGACTATATATCCCTCTATAGTTCTGATGATAGTATTATCAGAAAAAGCAGCATAAAGCTTGCACAATTCATTCTTGGGAATCTTATACACCTCCATTTAAGTTTCTGCTCTATCTCTTACCAGTCATGTTTAACCTAGATCGACTCTTAATTTCTCTATGTATTAGTTTTATAATCTCTGAAATGAAGATAATGATAGCACCTACTTCACACAGTTGTAAAAAGATTAAGGGAGATAATGCTTTTAAAGCATTTAGCACAGAACCTGGCATGTGTAAGATCTTAATAAATCAAGGATATGATTGTTGTAGTGGCTTTGAGAAAGCGTTTGAGCTCAACAAGACCTCAAAGATGATCTAGCCCAGGGGTTGGCAAAGTACTACCTGCCTCCTGTCACTGTATGGCCCGCAGCTAAGAATGATTTTTCATCTTTAAACGATGGGGAAAAAAACAAAATAATAAGACTAAAATTTTGTGATGCGTGAAAATTATATGTAATTCAAATTTCAATGCTTATAAATAAACTTTTATTGGAACATGGCCACACATTCCTTTCTGTGGCTGCTTTTTGCATCTACATCAGCAGAGTCGAGTAGTTGCAACAGAGACTATATGACATGCAAAGCTGAACATATTTCCTATCTGGCCCTTTAAGAAAACATTTCTTGACCCCTAACCTAATCCAAAGGCATCTTTATGCAAATGAGGAAACTGAAGCCCAGAGACAGGGAATCAGACAGGCTTTGTGACCTCAGCAAGTTGAATCACATCCCTGAGCCTTATTATCCTCATCTGTAAAAATCCTAAAACTTACTTCAAGTTTTTTCAGTTGAGGATGAAACGAATGACATACAGTGTGACATACAGTGTGACAGCATCTAGCATAGAATTAGTTTTATACGTGGCATTTCTTCTTTCTTGGCTCCCAAGGTTGCCCAGTGAGCCAGTGATAGATCCCACACCAGGACCCGTATCTCTTGGTTTCCTTCCCATGGTTGCTTCTCCAAACCCATCCCTCCAACCATGTTTGCCTTCAGAGGGGCCTTGTCTTACTTGGGAACTTCAAGAGATTAAAGGAGTTTGACGTACTTGTACCTGTCGGTACAGCAGGCCATCTGCCACCACGTGCTCCATCCATCTCCATTAAGTCCATTCACTTCCGAGCCTTGCACCAAAGTGGTACATTTAGGATTACACAAGACCCTTTGTTATGATGACATGCTTTTAAATGTCTCAGCTAATAAAACTTAATACAGACGAAGATCCCTCAGCTTCCCCTACCATAATTAAATTTATTTACTATTGCGTGTGTGGAGAAGGAAGGATTCTTCTTTTATCTCTAATTCACATGCTCTGTCAATAATTAATTGCTACTGGGTTTTGAGCTTTCTCGGCAAGCATTTTTATCAGGCAAGAGGCACTTTTGCCTCTTGCCTAATGTAGAGAAATTCACATGGAGTTTGATGTTGTTCGTGTATAATGGTTGGGCAGTGAGGAGTTTTCAGATCAAAGCAATAGCCCTGGCCGTAAATAATCATGCTCATCTTGAACTGATATTATCTCCCCAGTATTTTGAAAGTTTTCATGTTTGTGTGCCTGTTTGGCTCTTATCAGATTTAATTGTGACGTTTGGAGGGGCAGGGCTAAGGACCACAGTTTTAGGGGAGTCACATGTGCCTGATTTAAGAGTTCTGACTACCTATGACACCTTGATGAAGTGACTAAACCCACTCTGAATCTCCATTTTCTCATCTAAAAAATAGGGTTAACAAGAGTCCCTCCCTTATAGGATTGTAATGAAGATTGAATGCGATAATGCAGGTAAATCACTTAGAATACTGTCCAATGAATGCCAGAATTTTAAAAGCTTAAGCCAGAGGCACAAGATCATTGGCACAGCAATTCTTGAGAAGAGTAAAGAGAAAATATTTACGTTTGACCAAATGGAAAAGCTGAACAACATGGGAACTAAGGAACTGATCGAGAAAAGAAGGATATTCTGATTCAAGCCAGTGTCATCAACCATTCTTCCTGATCTGGAGACTGGTGAGCAATGGGGAAGCTGCTACTAGTTCAGCTGAAGTTGAAAGAATATACTGATATCCTACTTTTCTTTTAGTTGGAGAGATTGATTCTCTTCTTTTATTACAGAACTCATTTCATAGTATAAAAATATTAAATAAATGTTGATGCAAAAAATACTGAAGATAGATATTTTTACATGGCCTCTTCCAGATTTTTGCCCCTCAGATATATCTTGCTTCTTTTAATTTGCTGTATTTTTCTTTAGCAAGGAGCAGCTGCTAGGTTTTTCTTCTCATCCAGTCTCTGCCAGTCACTTCTTAGACCTCAGTGTTTATCTTTACGTTGACAAATTCATCTCCTTCACTTCAGCTAATTGTTCCAGTCTGTCAAGATCTGTGTTGATCTCGAGTCTTTTATCAGAAGCATCTGAGATAAATGGTACCCAGCCTATAAGCCGGCGTGTTTCGGAGTAATTATGTGACTAGCTCAGTGCTTGGTGCAAAAGGCAATGAGAGGAGCGGGGCTAGAGAAGGCAATGGAGAAGGTAGAGGGGAGCAGAGGCGCCTAAATGGCTTTGATCATCATGTTACAGATGGATTACACCATGTACTTGAGGACAGTTCCTGCATTTGGGGCACACATGGTAAAACCATCTCATTAAGCCAAGATACAACTGTTGTTGCATGAGATACACAGGATTTTTTGCTGGTAAGAAGCTATCCAGTAGCTGCTCAAAATCAATGAAGCAGCAGTATCCCCTTTCCAAAAATGATTCTGAATCAGTTATATTCATTCATTCATTCATTTGTTCCATAAACGCTCACTTCCATAAATGGCAAAATATACTAGTGAACAAAACAGACAAGGTCCCTTTCCTGACAAGAGCTTCCAGTGTTACTCCTATATCTGATAAAAGGAGAGTTCTTTATAGCAACACATAAATAACTATTTTAATCAACAGAGCGGGTATCATTACTATTTCACTTTTAGAGAGAAGGAAACAGACTCAGAACCTAAAGACACTTTTTCGAAGTCTCACTGGGTGAGTATATCCTTGGTTCCTAAGCTCACTGGCCAAGCAAACACCTACCACCAGTTTCTAGCAAATAGCAGGTGCTGAATACATATCTGTTGAACGAATGGATGAATAAATCATTAATCTCCTGTCCTAAGGCGAGGCTTTGTTGTGATGGGTTTTGTTGTCCTAATCTGCTCATTTCTCAGGCCTTGTCCCCTCACCAGTCTTCTCACCTGGGCCCACGACCCAGCAGCTATTTCTGTATCTATCCTAGTGTCTCTCTTCCTAAAAGACTAGAGAGGGCGGTCTATGTGTAAGACCAACTTCTCCCAAAGTGGGCTTTGGATGCTGTCTCCCTCTACTTTCTCAGGAATGATTCATCCCAAGTTTCCTTCTCTCTCCTGGTTTTAGGGGAGTTCTTCTCGACTGGGTCTGACATTTTGACTGCCCATGTTCTCACATCTCTATGTGCTTGAGGAATGGGGAGCAGACCAGTCATGCCACAGGGGAGTGAGCAAAGCTAAGGAAGTGAGAAAATAAGGTCAAGGGGTGGGGAGGGAAAGACCACAGGGGGTCTTATGGGCCACGGGAAGACACTGGGTTTTATTCCATGTGTGATGAGAAACCACTGAAGAACATGAAACAAGACAACATAAAATTCACATTTTAAGAGATTTTTTTTTTCTCCTGGCTGCTTTGCTGAGAACACACAGGCATGTGGCAAGAGCAGAAGGAAGGCAGCCTGCTAAGAGGCCATTTCAGGAGAGCAGGTTAGAGATGGGGGCGGCAGGAAAGCAAGGGGG